CTCAAAGGCACATAACAACAACAACAAAGTAATGGAATAGAAAACATAAAAACAATTAAAACTATCAACAAGGCTAAGACTCAGTTCTATGAAAAGGTCAGTAAAATAAACAGACAGCTGGCAAACCTAACCAAAAAAAAATAGAAAAGACATAAATAGTATGACTAAGAAATTAATGGGCAATGTCATAAGAGATTCAATTGAAATAAAAAGGATAATAATGGAATATTATGGAAAACTATAACAAATATGAAAGTCCAGAGAAAATAGACAAATTTATAAACACACACTACCAAATGACAGACTGAAGCAGAATACTTGAAAAGAGCACTCACAAAAGAAGGCATTGAAAAGGTCATAAAAAAAAATCCCAAAAAGAAGAGTCCTAAACCAACTGGTTTTATCAGCAAATCTTACCACACATTCAGAGAAGAAATGTCACCAATCTTGCATAAACTTTTCCAAAAAAAGAGAAAGAAGTAATATTCTCAGACTCAATATATTAATGAAACATAACTCTGTTATCAAAGCCAGGTTAAAAAAAAAGGTTAAAGTAGTAAAAGAACCAAAAAATAAAACTATAGACAAATATCTATTTGAATATAGATGAAATAAATAATAAAATATTAGCCACTAGAATCCAACAAAATATTAAGAGATTACAACATCATGACCAAGTGAGATTCAAAACAGGCATGCAAGCATGATTCAATATTAAAAAAGAAAACAATAAACACAATCCATCACATCAACAAAAGATAAGAACACATAATCATCTCAGTTGGTTCAGAAAAGGCTTTCAACAAAATCAAACATCTTTTCCTCACAAAAATACTCAATAAAATAGGATAATCTCTTTATTCCACTTGTAAAAGGTGATCCTTCAGAATGTGGAAATTATAGAACAAAACTACTAACATCACATGCAAGCAAATTCTTGCTGAAGATTATATTTAAAAAAAAACTGATAGAAATACAAGTTGTATTTAGAAAAGGCCATGGTGTTAGAGATATCATTGCTGATGTCATCTGGATCATGGCTTAAATTAGCGAGTATCAGAAAGATGTCTATTTGTGATTTATTGACTATACAAAAGCGTTTAACTGTGTGGATTTCAATGAAATGTGGTTAATGTTAAGAAAAATGGGAGTCTTAGAACACCTGACTGTACTCATGTGAAAGCTATACCTGGAACAGAAAGCTGTTGCCAACCAAAATAGACCAAAAGAACACTTCATGGTTCAAAATCAAGAAGGGGGGGTGCCAAGGATGTATTTTGTTTTTCTCTCCATACTTTTTCAATTTAATGCAGGAGGCTGGACAATATGAAGAAGAATCCAACATCAGAACTAGAGGAAGACTCATCAACAACTTATATAATGCAAATGACACAACCTTACTCACCAAAACCAAGAAGGACTCGATGTGTTTGCTGCAGAAGATCAAAGACTGCAGCCTTCAATATGTACTGTATCTCAACATCAAGAAAACAAAGATCTTCATCACCAGACCAATAGGCAATATCATGATAGATGGAGAAATGATTGAGGTTGTTAATGATTTCATCATGCTTGGATCTTCAATCAACACTTTTGAGACCAACAGTCAAGAAATGAAAAGACAAATTGCTTTAAGAAAGCTTGCTGTCAGGAAACTTTCTACAGTGCTGAAAAGCAACAATATCAGTCTAGGGACTAAGGTATGCTTGATCCAGGCAATGGTCTTCTTAATTGCTTGCTATACATCTGAGAGCTGTGCAATGAATAACGATGACAGTAGAAGAGTTGATGTCCTTGTGATATGATGCCAGAAAAGATTATTTTACACATGCCATGGACTGCCAAGAAGACAAATAGTTCTGTCCTGGAGAGGGTGAAACCAGTTTGCCCTATGGAGGCAAGGG